TACCAACCAAAAACCAGAAGGAGAAATGGACCAAAACTCCCAAACAAAGATTCCCAAAATTTAGAAATGGTGGGTATTTGAGGTTGACCAGCCGGAAAACCCCCAGTTGAGCTGGCGGTTGACCGGTGATGTGCACCTGAGTAAATTTCGAACTGAACTGTGATCTTAGGCTCTGATCGTTATCTCCTATATCTCTGTTTGGTTTCTTCTTTACACCGAAATGTGCAAGCTTTGTTATAACTTACTAAATTTGTAAATTATAAACCGTTCTGTTTGGCTTTTCTTTCACACCAATAATTCAAACCAAATACATAAATCAAAATTTATTTTAAATCACTAATTGAATGTTTATTCCAAAAGAAAAATTATTTCCTTTGTAATATTTTCAATTAAAAAAATGATTAATGCTATTTTTTTTTATAATTAACTTTTTGAATTGAATTTTAAAAAGAGTTTGTTTATGAGTTTTGATCAGAATTTTCAATAAGGTTTTGAGTAATGTGTTTGGTTATGAGTTATAACAATTTGAAATAAGTTTTGAAAATTATTTCCAAAACTCATAACCAAACAAATTTTCTTATTTCACAGGTCACATCAAACATTCAAAACTCAATTCCATACTCAACTCAAAACTCAATTCAAAACTCAATTCAAAACTCATAACCAAACAAATTTTTCATACTTAAACCATAATTCCAAAACTCATAAGCTCAAAATACAACTCAATTCTCAAATCATATTTAGAAAACTCTACCAAACGCTACCTAATTTTCTTACAAGAATTTTTGGAAAATACTCAAATAGATTTTGTCCAAAAAATTAATATTAGGACCGACCCGCACTCGTGCTCGACACAGCCGGACGGGCACGCGTGTGGTGGTTTGAGCCAAAGCTCATTTTGTTCATAACTTCTCTTTCTACAAACTTGGGTTGGGCCCAATCTAGGTTTGTCCACTTAGAGCTTATTAACACATACAAGCTCTCTTTAAGTTTCAATGTGGGACAACCATTTTAAGGTAACCCACATTTTGACTCTATAATTTCTCTTTCTACGAACCCAAAAACGATGTCAAGTTTTCATTCACTCATAAATAGTTTTGATGAACCGTCTTCACTGTGTGATTTGTCACGCGGCAAGAAACACGTCACCTTTTTGGACCCACCCTAAAATACGTGTGGGCTCCACTCAAATTTGGGCTCAAAGTTGACCCAAAATAAGCCTATAAAAAAACCATAATTCCAACAGATGAGGACGTTACCTCTACAATCCATTCCAATACTAGACATCGTAAAGCTATAAAAATAGAAGAATTGAATGATGTAAGGACAAGACTTTCAGAGATGGAAAATGAAATTCATGACCATGGTAGAAAGCTTCAAAGGATGGAAAAGAATTTCAAGGCGATGATTTATGTGATTGTATTTTGTATCATTTTGTACTTTATAATGTAAATTATAGATTGTGGGTTGTTAGGAAATTTGATGAATGTAAGTATGGATTTAATGGACATGATGAATGGTGGGTATATGTTAGTTCTTGAATGTTATCATGAATTGAATGTGGTATTGTTATGGATTGGGGATTTATGTTGTCACTTTCAATTCTCACATGTATATGTTGTCACTTTCAATACTATAATTGCATTTGGGACAATGGTGGTGTTGTTGGACTTTAAAATTGAAGGCAGTAGGACTATACATTTGAATGAAAATTCAATGTTTTGATGTTGCTGCTGGACTAATATGTATTTATACAAAACAAGCAATGTTGTCACTGTTAGAAAAACAATGCAGCAGGTTAAATTTGAAAAGCAATGTTGTGATGTTGCTGCTAGACTACTGATAAGTACAAATTGATCCCTCATGTTTCATAAGAGTTGCATGTGTTGGCTACATATTTTGTGCAAGCTAGTTACAATTCAACGCGTGGCAAAGTAAGGGTAATATGGGGAGACCATTCAAGTCTTCGATCCTGATCGTACACGTGGCAGTTAATATTGGTTGTTATGAGATCTGAGTAGCAGTAGATCAACAAAGAGATGCAAGGTGACGTGGCTTCAACGGTTACTCACATTCAAATTCAAATATAGGAGGGAAGCCTAACTGCAAGTGATGGCGTAGTGGAACTACTTATAAGGCAGCATGATCAGCGACCACGGAGGAGCAGTTCGACGGTTTGAAGTGCAATTCGATGGTCATCTTTGAGGAGTATAAATAGCTGGGAAGACTCCAGAAAACACCCCCAGACTCAGATCCAACAAACTAGTCTTACTTTATATATTTCTTTTTAGTTTTTATATTTCCTGTTCTTTACATTCCTGTACTTTAAATTCCTGCACTGCACTTCATTCATAGGAGTAGTTTCAAATAGATTGTCACTGTAAACCTCTACGAGGCTGGATTTGGATCATTGTAAGTTTTTCATACTAATGAAATGCTTCAATTGCTCTTTATTTAACTATTCTTGTGTTTAAATTCTCTTAAATCAAGCCACCAGTAAAAGTCTTCTTCATTGAGGCTGAAAGAACTACAACACAATCGTCTGATAATTGGTTGGCAATTAAAATTCTGTAAGGACTGATTGATCCTTACTAGCACGCTCACAATTACAAAAATAACTTTCGAAAGCCAAAAAGCCAACAAATAGGAGGGGGCCCCTTTTTAAGTCTATTTTGAGGGGCCCTAGGCCATGGCCTTGTGGCCTATGCCCCAGGGCCGGCCCTGATCGAGAATATTAAATAATTTCCCTTTAAGGAATTATGTTTTTCTCAAACTTTGCCATATAATTTGTTGTATTATTTATACTACTTATTTCATTATTAAATTTTTATTTTACCGATAAAAATAACAAAAAAAAAAATCAATAACATGTCATGCTATCAAGAAAAATGTGATTCACGCAGTAGTCAATTCACATTCTTCCAATATAGCAAATGTAAGTCTTTAATCAGTTTTATTTTATTTTATTATTTATTTATTTATTTATTTTAATCAACGAAGGAGCTTTATTGATAAATAATTAAAGTATATGAACATTTAGGGAAACATCAATAAGAAGACAAGTGCGATAACATCACCGCAAAGAAAAATTATTTCAACTAGATTGGTATACAATTGCAAACACCATCACATGCTGACACTATGCCAAGAGTTGTCAAGGAATTAACTCAAACAAAACGGAGAAAAATAAATAAATAAATAAGAGCAACACAAGCTACCATCCAAACTTCAACCCCATGCCCAAAATAAACAACTACCTAAAATTCAAATCCACTGCCCCAAATATTATATTATGGGTAACATTTTGTAATTATCCTGTTGATTAGGTAAGACTTTTTAGCCACAAGGTTTTTCCAAACCCCACAAGTTTGAAACTATTTGACAGATAGAACTCTAGGGAGAGTAAAACCTACCCTTCATTTTGGGAAAATTCTATCATACATAAAAGTAGTTTTCATATATGGTACATAAAAAAATATGGACCATTAGATTTAGACAAGATGAATGCTAGTCATTGGATGAGTAGACACTACGGGTGTGTTTGATTGGGGGATAAGGGGGGGATTATTTACTGTGCGGATTGTAATCCGCACAGTAAATCCAATCCGATGTTTGTTTTTTTTTTTAGTCCGCCTGACATGGAGTCCGGTCGGACTCCTTATCCCCCATATAGGGGATTATATTATCCTAGGGGGGTGTGGGATAATTTTGGGGAGATTATTTACTGTTAGGATTAGGTGGTGAAATGACCATTTTGATCATCTACTATTTAATTATGTGTTATATTTAATAAAATTCAATAAAATTTAAATGTCTCAATTTAAAAATAAAATAATTTTATTTAACTTTTTATTGATGTTTTATTTATTTAATTTTTTAAAAATAATTTATTTATAGATATTTTATTTTAAAATTTTGCTTATATTTTATTTAATTTCATTATTTAAATTTTAATAGATGTTTTATTTAATTTCATTGTTTAATTATTATTATTTTTAAAAACAAATTTATTTAAAATTTTAATTAAAAAAATAAAATATATTTTTATTGATATTTTATTTATTTATTTTTAAAAAAATTTATTTAATTGTGTAAAAAATAAAATAAAATAAATTTTTATTTAATCTAGCTAAAAATAATTAAAATATTAAAGATATGTTTAATATTACTATTACTTAGTAAACAATTGAAAAAAGGTAAAATAGTCTTTTGTTCATTTATCCTATCCAATCCGTCCAACCGAACGTTAGATTCACTAAAAATAATCTTTTCCAGACATCTAATCCCATGAAAAAACAAACACAGGATACACATCCAATCCGACCAAATAATCCGGGGGATTCACAGTCCCAGGACTCAAGTCCGATGGATTCTAATTCCCCCTTATCTAGTCCGTCCAATCAAACACACCCTACAAGAAATAACACCTTTGCCGACTAAAAAATTGATCGCTAAAAGCTCATTTTTAGTCAGCAAAAGTTATCCGCGACCAATTTTTTTGGTCGCCAATTGAGGGTCAGCAAAGTAATTCGCGACCAAAATTTTTGTTGGTCGGGAAAAGTTGGATTTGCCGACTAAATTTTTGGTCGCTAAATATATCATTACCGCGACTAATATATTTTGTCGCTAAAATACTTTGGTCGCGAAAAGTGATATTTTTCCAACCAAATATCTTAGTCGCCAATCGTCACATTCCACGACCAAACAGATTAGTTGCCAAAAGTTGAGGAATCGCCGACTAACAATTTAGTAGCCAAAAGGTAAGGAATTGCCGACCAATTTTTTAGTTGTCAAATCTTTTTTTTTTTTAGAACAATCATTTTTTGTTGATAAACATTCAATCCAATATCAAACAAAATTTATTCAACCCAACCACAATTAAGTGTCAGTCCTTGACATATATGTATGATGAATATACATAGTCACAACAGCATTGGTTCATATATCTATCTATCTATCTATGCCAAGGTCCTTAAATTTTAGAGAGATAAAATCATCACTTTTCAAAACTGCTCCCCCATTCACACTTACTTACCTAGGTCCTTGAATTTCAGTAATATTTCATTGTACTTCAATGTAGAAAAGGACAATTTATAAACGATATAAAATTGGTACCATTTTTCAAAGTGAACAAATATTACAAGACATTAAAAAAAAAAAAAAAAAAAAATAAATAAATAAATCCAGATACATGGGTTATAATAGGCAGATCTACACCAATCTGCTTTTGTATATATGTAAACACCAGAGAATTCAGAGAATCGTTCCTAAACTCCTCATCCAAATGACCATCAAATTCAGCCTTTTCTAGTACATACTCAACTTCAACTTGCTCGATAACCTATTAGTACCAAAACAAACAAAAACACAAGTTAAGATCAACGAATCAAAATGATCATTTAAAATAAAAAAGAACAAAAAAACAATTCCTAATTATCATATTTAACACCAACATAAATCTCAAAATCAAAAACCCAATTCACTAAATGACACTTCCATGAAGATTGAAATCAAACAGAAACAAATCTATTCGAACTTAACTGTTATTAAATGAAAAAAATGATTTACCTGCAGAATGGTCTTTGCTGTCCATGGCAGTCCAAGGTTCTGCAATAAAAACTACATCTGCAGCCTGAAACATAAGCAAAAAATTACTCACTAATCTCAAACATCATGATAGGAGTTGATTTTACACTTTTACAGTTGAACCTAGCATAGATTTTCTTAATTTCCCTTACAGTTGAACCTAGCAAAAATTTAAAAAAGACACAAGGGGCATTCAAAAAAATAAAATAAAATGACAAACAATGCACACACTTTAGAACTTGATTACAAAATCCACTCATCAGCTTACTGTTTTAGGAAAAGGAAATTAGGATACTCTTCTCAGAAACTAATTACTCCATAGGCATTATGTCTCTGAGCACCATATTTCCCATGTTCTACTCACTAATTGTCATTAATGGATTGTAGAATAGTCATTCATAATCTTTACATTATTCACATTGGGGTATTATTACATATATTACATGGACAACTAAGAAATGAATGAAGTATCTCAGTCAAACATGACCAGAACTCTTGTTAGAAATTTGATTCTTTTGTAAGAACAATGTGTGCAAGCACAATATTTTTCATTTCTACTTTCTGATAATTATTATGAATTGTAACAAAGTCATTCATATTATTTTTCATGATGAAGTCGTCTAAGAAAGAAATGAAGTATCCCAATCAATAGCCAAAGAAGAAATAACCAAGGCAGATTCAACAAAGGAAAATAAATGAGAAACCATACTACAAATGGAAAAAGACAAAGTTATTAAATTAGTCAATTATGATATTTTTGGTCTTAACTCATAATAAGTTGGAACCTATTAATTGTTTACTTATTAAAACAATAAAGAAAATAATTAAGTTGGAAACTAATTAATTGCTTACTTTCACTCACAAGTTAAGTTATGTAACAGTTTTCAGAGATAGTACACCTTCATAATCAATTATCGCCTTGCATATGTGTTCAGATTTGAGCTGTTTATGCTGCCATTCCCGGGCAAACCTCCAGTGGCCCCAAGGTGTGACTCGAACTCGAGACCTGAATTAATTGCTTACTTTCACTCACAAGTTAAGTTACATATGTAACAGTCTTCAGAGATAGTACACCTTCATAATCAATTATCGCCTTGCATATGTGTTCAGATTTGAGCTGTTTATGCTGCCATTCAGATCTAAGAAAATAGTGGGAAGAGTGAGTACACCTTCAATGTAACTCCCACAGCCCACGTGTCAACTGCTTTGCCACCGTATGTTAGACCTGTTAATCAGATAAAAATCAATGAGTGAGTGGTAGATATATATCATCCACCTTGTGATTTTAGTTTTACAAAAAATATATTCTCGACATGGGGAGGGAGCTCTAACCTAAACAGCACTCTGGTGAGAGCGGCGAAGCTCATCGTTATCATCCTACAAATGAAAGCAACTCAATCACAGTATAAGGCAGTCAGGAAGAATAATAATAATATCACATTGCACTTCCTAGTGGTTGCAGTGGAAAAATAATACAAAGAAATGGGTTCTTTCACATAGAACAAAAATACATACATAGAATCACAACAAAAATACATCTTGATCTATGAGCAGCAATCAAGAAACTATTACACATAGCAAATCACTCACAAGCCTGATGTCTTCTCACGGTTTTTTTGCTGCATTTTGGGATAAAATTTATGACCTTGAAAAAATGATCAAGCATGTCTCACCTATCCTTACAAGCTGATTAGAGCTGAGCTTGAAATATCAAGTTTATTTTCAACTCTAATCCTTATTCTAGATTTCAAAAAGAAGAAACCATGACCAACAGAAGCAAATAAAAAGGCTTATCCTGTGAAGAGATGAAAAGAAAGCGCGAACAAAATGACAGTTTCATTTTTCAAAATTCCTGCATATCATTATTACTTGAATTGAAAATAACATATATACACAATTATTCTGATCAAATCAGGGTTGAAACAAAGCTCAATACCTCAAAAACCTGGCTGACACTAAAATTGCCAATCTTCACTGTGCTGCAAGCAGTGACCAAAAGACTTTGACTCTTGCAAATTGGACAAAATGAATGAGACATAGGATTGAAGACAAATATTACCTAAACCAGACCAGATGAAGATGTTGTTAGTAAGGATGAAGATTAGTTTCATGAAGAAGCCTAAAAATCCATGATTACCAATCCATGATTACCCAGTGGTAAGACCAAATGAGACAAAAAATATTAGCTTTTGGAGAAGGGAAAACATACCTTCCCCATTATTGTTAGCTTTGAGCACTACAAAAACATATTTAGCTAAAGGTAGTAGGGAAATTGTGTACATTACTAGTGATAATGCCCCTAAGAGATCAACATCCGACTTGATAGGCACCTTGCTGAACACATCAGTAAAGACATATAAAGGGCTCGTGCCCATGTCACCATATACAACATTGAGTGTTTGAAATGCCAGTGCAACAGTTTGCCAAAGGGAAGGATCCTGATTTTGAAGCAATTAAAATTAGTAAGAGAAAATTAGCAAGTTTTTACTTGCAAACATATCTTCTCAATGCAGTATTAAGAGAACCCTGACATTTTGGATAATTTCTATTTCTGCTTGCATCATGGAGCTTACAGTTACTTGAACTAACTACCTTTGACGGTTTGGCATCATTAGGGTTCTCATTATTCGACCAATATAGCTACAAGCCCTTATCATGGCATAGGCATTAAATAAATAAATAAATAAATAAATAAAACAGCTCAGGAAAACCTAATGACATAATATATTTCAGGAAAAAACTGTCTCATTGAAGTAGAATATTTAGGCTGTATTAAAAAAAAAACAGAAGAAAGAATGGCTTCTGAAAGCCACATCCTGTTAGTATGATAGGCATATAGGCATTAAATAAATAAATAAATAAAACAGCTCAGGAAAACCTAATGACATAATATATTTCAGGAAAAAACTGTCTCATTGAAGTAGAATATTTAGGCTGTATTAAAAAAAAAACAGAAGAAAGAATGGCTTCTGAAAGCCACATCCTGTTAGTATGTAATTTGCTTGATTCTCCTTGATCGTTGATAGTCATGTTTTCTACCAAATAACATCCATTGTAAAGTTTTCAGTGAAGGTATTTCCTATGAAGTATATTCCCAAGCGTCATGAACTTGTAATTTTGGGGTTGGAAATAAATGACTTGTTGATGTTTAGTGTTTCTGAATCACTATATCTTGTGATTATTGTTCAAAAGTATCCGCCACCCCCAACACAGAGAGATTATTTTTGCAAAATTACCATTGCAATTGCATAGAGTAGTTCAATTCTGGCAATGTCAAGTTTAGTCACAAGAAGATCAATATAGTTACAACATGAAGTGGCATAATGTGGACTGTAATTGGAACTAAAATAGAAGAATAACCAATGTTGCATGCCCCAAACAGTAGCTTGAATTCATGTTGGCTTAAAAACTCATCTTCTTTAGCATTACTTCGAAACACACTCTTAGGCATGTTTATTATAGTTCTTCTGCTTCTTAGTCAATCACAAGAAAAGAACACAAGAAAAAGTGTACAAATTGCTCCTAGACAATGGAAAGAAAGTGAAATTTGAAATCACTCTGTAACCATTTTGACTTCTTTAGAAGACACTACTAAACCCTTTCAGTTGTCCATTAAACACTTACATCTACAGTGAAAAAGGACTTTTTTATGCCTAAACAAACACATTTGTATACACAATCATTAGTTGTTACTTTCTTATGTATCAATTTAGGTTTAAATTCCCCAGTTAAAGCAAGCCCCGACTATTGATCTGCATCATCTCCATCACATCATCAATGGTTGTGAAGAGCAAACTCAACATATCTTTATTTCTAATTCAAAAACAATTGTGAGAGAATTTAAAATTCTAAATGACAACAATTATAGACCGCTAATTTTGAATTTTAATATCAACATTAGATAAATGATAAAATCGAAAGAAAAACCAAACTATACTAACAAATATTCTATTAGAAGAGGAATAGGGTTTTAAATAAGTTGGGTTGTTTTTTCCTTGGCATGGTGATCTTGAAAACCAGCAATTTCCATGGCTTCAACATCAAATGAATCAACCCTCTTGAGCTTCTTGACTAACCTTCTCCTGACAAATCCATGCCCATCTCTAGATTCTTTACTCTCATTTTCATCAAGCAGTGACCATGGAGGGGACTTAGAGTCCACTTCACTGCCATCAACCCACTGGGCAGAGGCAGATCCATACCCACAACCAGTTTTGCCCACCAACCTAACACTGATCTCCTCAATCCTCTCTTCTTCCATAGCCCCCAAACTCTACAACCTTAGCAACAATGAATCAAGAAATGAGCCCAAATGGAATCAATCCACCATGTGTTTGGCACAACCAACTAAACCCTTCACTCTCAGTAATAGTCAATCAAGAAATGGACCAACTATAATCAATCCATCATGTTCTGGCAAAACCCACAAAACCTTCATTCTCAACAATAATCAATCAAGAAATTGACCAAAAATGGAATCAATTCATCATGATCCAGCAAAACTCACAAAACCCTACACCCTAAACAATGATAAATAAAAAATGGACCAAAAATGCAATCAGTCCATCATGTTCTGGAGAAGGAAAAAGATGACAAACCTCTTCAAAATCATCAATCAGAGCTCAAATCCCTTTCTCCGTACTAAAATTCGCCGCATTATATATATATATATATATAGAGAAAGACCGAGGGCAAAGGTTGCATTTTGGGAGAGAGTGAGAAACAGAGAGAGAGAGACAGACAGACAGACCGAGAGTGAGAGAGAACCTGTAAGGATGCGGCGGTGGCAATGGCGCTAGTAGTGGCGTGCGACACTGGTCTGCGATGAGGTGAGATTGGGTGAGGATCTCCCAGAAATGAGGAGTCCATTAGACAGAGGGCGATGGTGATTTGCGGCGGTGGCGATGTGCGACGGACGTGAGCAATGGTGGTGAAGGACTTCGGTGAGCTAGAGAGAGTGGGCACCGATTGAGAGAGATAACACAGAAAGAGGGAGAGGGCGGACCAACATAGACACAGAGAGTGAGCTAGAGACAGAGAGGAGATTTGGGCTTTTTTAAAATTTTTTTTTTTGTTTTCTTGGTACAAAACGACGTCGTTTTACAATCGGTGACCAAATTTTTTTGTCGCAAAAAAATTTCAATTCCCGCCTCTATGTTTCAAAATTTCCTCCCAAACTTTTGCCTACCAAAAGACCAGATCAGTCACAGAAAAGGTACCTTCGCCGACAAAATTCTTTAGTCGCCAAATCTCAATCAATGGCGACTAAAATATTAGTCGCTAAAAGTACTAATTTGGCGACTAATTTTTTTTTTGGTTGTTGAAAAAGTTTTTGGCGACCAAATTTTTGGTCGCCAAAGAAAAAAAATAATTTTTTTATTTTCCATTCGGTGACTAAATTGTTTTAGTAGCCAAAACTCAATATACGGCAGCTAAAATAGTTTTGGTCGGGGAAAATAAGTTTTTGGCGACTAAAATTTTGGTCGCCAATTCCACAACCAACTTATTTTTGATCTTCCGCGACGAACTTATTTTTTAGTCTGCAAAATGTGACCTTCCACGACCAAATTTGTGTTGGGCGCCAAAAGCATACCACTTTCTGCAACCAACTCATTTTTGATCGCCAAAATATGACCTTTTGCGACCAACTCATATTTGGTCGCCAAAAATAATGATCATTCGCGATTAATTAATATTTGGTCACCAAAAGGTAACTTTTTGCTACCAACTTTTATATTGGTCGCAGAAAGTGGTCGCTAAAAGTGTAGATTCTTGTAGTGAAATAGTAAAATTAGGTTAAAAAAGTAAGATGGTTTTTAAAAAAGTAAAGTAGTTTTAGTTAATTTTGAAATTAAAAAAATAATGATAACTTACAGTTTATTACAAATAGACTTACTATTTGATATTTACTCACTTGCTATTTGTTATGAATGAACATAATATTTAAAACATTACCTGCTAAGCAAGTCACCTTCATGTCTTGAAAATTGTGTTCTCTTTTGCATTTTAAATTAACTTTAAATACATAGAATTAATGACACACCATATTTAACTATTTTCTCTCCATATTTTGTTTATGATTTGTAAAAGTAAAATATGATATGTAAACATTAATTTATTAAAATTTCTTAAAATTTATTAAGTTTTTAAAATAGCCATTAATGTGAAAAATTAATTTTTGATATAATATTAAAAAAAATAAAAAAGAAAAAAATTGTAAACAAAATATTTTTAAATTGTAAGTTATTTAAACTTATTTTTAAAAAACATTAAATTATATATATATATATATATATTACCTACAACACCTCAAAATTGTAATTATTATTTAAGGACATGTTTGGTAATAT